GTGGAGAAATGAGGTAATATAATATGATTAATAACATACCTTATTTTTAGTCATCCATTTAACAAATTTGACATCTCTTGCTTCTTCTGGGTTCTCTCCTGATAAATCAACATCTATAGGAAACATAAAACTCTAATAGATTACTAACAGGATCAAAACTAATTATATTTTACATCATTAAATTTGGAATTGATGAAGTTATTTAATGATACTTTCTGATGAATTTTACCTTCATACAATTTTGAGAAGGGTTGGTTTAAAGACCATTTTCTTGCAGTTAATTGGATGTTTAGTGATGTCAGGCTATTTATTTTTATCAATGGATGACATAATTTGCCTTATGAACCTTGGCTTTCAGTGCCACAAAAACATTGCGTGAATAAGGTCTATAGGTAGCGACCTTAATCATGATAGACCATTGATCACAAGGTGAACAAATGTGGTTGTGGTTTTCATTTCAGTCTGCATGTGAAAGTCTGGTGACCTTGATTAAACCATCTTTCCTCATTATTTTAGTCTACTCTAATGTAAATTGGCACAATAATATGAGAAAGATCAATGCCAAGAGGTTTTGACCAAAGACCAGCTGGTAGACAGAATCCTCGTCAACCTAAGTTTTATATCACTTTTGAAAGCTTCTATGAGATGAAATCTTGCCTTTTAGAATTGTTATCTATCTGATTCATAATACTGAATTCAATGTGAGATGAAAGATCATCTTTATTTGTATTTCGAAGATAATGTATGTTTTTGTGATTTTGCATGGTCGATAATGGTTTCTGGTAAGCAAGGTTTCATATGGCTCCTTAGAATTTTCAAACTTGATTCATTGTCTATTTTTACTTACCTATACCAGATATGTCTGCCATTAAGAAATAACCACCATCAGGAATAACTGGCCACATTCCCATCTCGTTAAACAAACTAATTAACATATCTCGTTTAGGTATTATCTCTAGGGGTAGTTGTTTAAAGTAGCATTCTGGGGTATCTATTTTGGGCAATTCATGTTCAAAAGCTAGAGCTACAGCTTCCTGTAATATAATAGGTGATTTATTTATCAACAACAATTGCATCTTTAAAGTAGAGTGCTGAACAGATACAAGGCTAAATCAATTTTTACTCCATGCTTTCAGCACCAGTAATAAAGAGTGGAGAGTTTTGTCAGGACAGTCATGAAGATTGACCTACACTTTTAATCCAAACAATCCTTAGTATGCTCAGGAGCCGCGGTGGCTCAGTGAGTTAGACGCTTGCTCACTAACCTGAAGGTCCAGGGTTCAATCCCGGCATAGGTCCAGATAATACCTTTGGATTTTTTCAAACCGGTTTCCCCCTGTCAGTGATGCAGGTGAGAGGGGCTGACATGGAAAAAGCGTCTAGTCGTTCGGTTGGGACCATAAACCGAGGCCCCGTGTGCTACAGACTGTGCATGTTAAAGATCCATCGACAGTTGGAAATCGAAAAAGGGCAGGCTAATGCCGCTGTCCTGGCAAAATTTCCCTCATCGCACCCTGCATGGCGTTGCCCGTCTTCATTAGCCCACATGCTGCAGAAAAGTAGGAAGTAAAACTCCATCCATTTCATTTCTTAGTATGCACAAACAATATTTTTCCACCTCAATCTATCTTTTAAGAAAAACTTGAATTTTACCCTATCAATACAACCACCTTTGGCATTGAATTGTATGGTTTTATGACACCATAATTTGGATAAATTTATCTTGAATTACCAGAACACCAAATGCCAAACGCGAATTGGAAATGCAAAAAGAAGCTAAGCTTCCTCATGGGCTAAATTCAATCTCAGAAAATTCTGGCGCAATATTTTAAAGACATATTACCTGTAAGATGGTAGGACAGTTGTAGTTACAGTTTTGATGCATACATTGAGCACCAAGTAACAGATTAGCTGGACCTATAGTCCATCCTAGTTTCCAACCTGTAGCACTGAATGTTTTACCAGCACTACCAATAGTTAATGTTCTTTCCCACATTCCTGGCAGGGTGGCTGCAATGATATGACAAAATATCTTGATGATACATAACTGATAACAGTTAAATTCTAAAATAAAATGAAATGGAGTTTTACATCCTACTTTTCTGCACCATGTGGGTTAATGAAGACGGGCAACGCCATGCAGGGTACAATGAGGGAAATTTTGCCAGGACAGTGACATTCGCCTGATCTTTTTTGATTTCCAACTGTCGAGGGATCTTTAACGTGCACAGCCTGTAGCACACGGGGCCTCGGTTTATTGTCCCATATGAACGACTAGACGCTTTTTCCATGTCAGCCCCTCTTACTTATAAAATAGTGTTCAATTGAACAGTACGGTACTGATTATGTCACATTCAAAATTTTCCCTTCTATTCCTTTTTCTGCTATTTTGAATTCTGTCTACATCTACTATTTTTCGGCACAAGTGGAACGCATTCTGAACTTTGTTTCAACATGTTTAATTGAATGTCCATTCGATTCTATGAATCTGAACAAGCAGAACCCATTAATAAAGGGTTTAAAAGCTACAACATACCTATTTTTATATGTTTACTTTCTCCAAACACTAACCATTCATAGACCTCATCTGATATACATATCACATCATATTTTATACATAATCTAGATATCATTTCTAATTCCTCTCTAGAAAATACCTGTTATATATAACAAATATAGACCTCATCTGATATACATATCACATCATATTTTATACATAATCTAGATATCATTTCTAATTCTTCTCTAGAAAATACCTGTTATATATAATAAATATAGACCTCATCTGATATACATATCACATCATATTTTATATAGATATCATTTCTAATTCCTCTCTAGAAAATACCTGTTATATATAACAAATATAGACCTCATCTGATATACATATCACATCATATTTTATACATAATCTAGATATCATTTCTAATTCTTCTCTAGAAAATACCTGTTATATATAATAAATATAGACCTCATCTGATATACATATCACATCATATTTTATATAGATATCATTTCTAATTCCTCTCTAGAAAATACCTGTTATATATAACAAATATAGACCTCATCTGATATACATATCACATCATATTTTATATAGATAACATTTCTAATTCTTCTCTAGAAAATACCTGTTATATATAACAAATATAGACCTCATCTGATATACATATCACATCATATTTTATATAGATATCATTTCTAATTCTTCTCTAGAAAATACCTGTTATATATAATAAATATAGAACTTGTATGATATATATGCAAACATTTTTGAAAGTACCTGTAAACCTTAAACAGTTGGCTAACACGATTTTGTAACTAAAACCAATAAAATTAACAAGACATCTTACCTTTCCTAAAGGGTTATTTGGAGTATTTATTATAATAGCTTTAGTTTTTTGATTAAATTTACTCTCTAATTCAGATTCATCTATCTTCCAATCAACACTAGATGTAGGTCCTTCAACTCCCGCTTTAGTCTAAAATAGATATATAGATCTGTCATGAATTGGGTGATATTTTCTTTCAAATATAGCTTGCAAGGAAAGGTAACACAAGCCCATAAGCATCTTTGTTAAGCCAATTGAAAGATGTCTTCTGCAATTGTATAACTTTTTTTTAGATTTATAGATTCATTAGAACACATTTTACCGAAAAATAACGAGAACTCATGATAAATTTTTGATGATTTTCTTGATTTTCAATATCGGTTACCAAATTTCTTTTAAATACATCCAGAACTGAATCTAAATAAGCAATAATGTTGATGAACTGTCTTGAGCAATGACAATGATATACATTTAAAGGTTAATGAGGACAGGTTGTAGCACAATGGGTTAGAGTGATGAAATCTTTACATCACCACATTTGCTCTGAAAGTCTGTTGACCTTGAGTAAGTTTATCTTTCTTCATTATTAAAATCGACCCATCTGTAAATGGGTACGAATAATATCAGATCAATGCCAAGAGTTTTGGCCAAGGACCAGCTGGAAACCTATGTTGTTTTTTGCATTTTTCTTTTTCTGATTTTTTCTACCAGCCATTAACGAAACACTTAAGGTGGGCACACCCTTCTTTCCAGTTTACACCTATATAATGGATAACTTAAATAAATAACTTACAGGCCTAATAGGAACAAAGATAGACTGACCACCGGCTACTTTTACCATCGGATCATAACAATCAAAAAATGGTTCTATAATAATAACCTGCAATATAAAATACAAACCTAATCAAACTAACCTACAAGAATAGGCTCTCGGTTCAAAAATAATATATGTTAATGATGTCACATGATTTTTTTACCTATCCAATCAAAATGCATCCACGTAGCTATTTTTATGTTTTGATTTCAAAGCTTTTTAATATTTTCAGTATGGGCACATTCTCATATGAAAAAAGTTATCTTTATTGATTAGTTGTTCAAGGTTAATGAAGACAGACTGTAG